TTTATTTTTAGAAAATGTAACATAGATATAACAAGAAGTATCTTGTGAATTCGTTTGTAACATATAATGAATTGATCTGCAGACTATTCTGGAATCGAATCCCGATATGGAAATATCCCTGACTGTATTCTGCAGGATTTCCCTAATATTGATCATGGAGAAAAGAAAGATAAGCCCGGCAACAATTTAGAAGATAAATTAAAAGAACTTCAGCAGTCAATTCAAAACTTACAAGAAAAAGGAAAGTTCAACGAAAAGATTTGAGGAAATTTTTGAATTCTCTTGTTCGTTATTAGTTTAATATTTGGACTACCACTGGGATTTTTTTATGTTTTTAAAAAGAATATATAGCAATAATCAAGAACAGCAAAAAAATGAACGATAAACCCATATTAAGAAATTTTTTATTTGCAATTATTTTTGGGAAACAAAAGGGTTATCCTTAATATAGAATCTCCATAAGCGATCTTTGTCTGCTCCAGCATAATCGATATTTATTCTCTTAGTAACAACAATCTTGTCTTGGCTGGGTTCGGGTTGATCTTCTATATAAATTAAACCACTAGTGGTTAGATCGGTATGATTAAGACTTATATCAATATTCAATGCTCGACATAGTTTGCCGGGACCATTAGTGTAGTAATGAAATTTCTTTTTTTCGTTGTGAAGAGAAGTAACTGGAATAGTATGGTGACCAAGGGGTTCGACAGCATGAATTAACACTCCTTGTGGATCCCCTTTGGTTGAAGAAGCAGTATTAAAACAGTAATACATTCCATAAATAAGACAAACATAGGCACAACCACCACGGTTATTTAAGGCGGCAGCCTTTCAAAATGATTTATTTTCTTGATGAGCATGGCAAGCTCGGTCGATATTTCCATTGTAAGCTTTGGTTTCCACAATTTTAAATTTGATAGTTTGATTGTTGTTTTTTCTAACCAGCGTTTTGCCGAGTAATTTTTGTGCTAATTTATAGCGCTAACCATGAAAAAACTAGGGTCGGTGATACGCATAATATAATCTTTTTTATTTTTCAGAAAAAGATAAAATTACAGTATGAGTAGGGAAGAGTTAAAAAAAGTAAAACAAAGCCTTTGGGAAAGTGCCATAAAGTTGAGAGTAGGACTTGGTGGAACTCATACTTGTGCAGAAATTTGTCTGAATCTAATTTTTCTCAAATATATTACGGATAAATCAAAACAAGAATTTGAAGAAGAGAAGAAAAACTTTCCTGAACAACTTGCTCAAGATGAAGATTATTTAAGAAATTGGTATATTTCCCATAATGCCCTTTATTTACCTGAAGAAACCCATTGAGATTATATCAATGAAAATCAAGACAAGCAAAATATCAAACAAATTTTGAATGATGTTTTTGAGAAGTTGAAAGAAAAAAGCGAAAGGTTGAAACTATTTTTTCTCCCGTTTTTTCTAGAATGGAAGTTAAAGCCAAAAGCATTGCCAAGTTAATTGACATCTTTACTAACCAAATGCCAAATTTAAATAATAATCATGATACAGTTGGTCAAATTTTAAATAAAAAACCATGGTATGATGGGTATGATAACACAATTAAAATTGATCATGGATTTCTTATAAATACAACAAGACACGATAGCAAGTTTTCATTGCATTGCATTCAAATGATACCTTATCCCATATTACAGTCAGGGATATTACCATAAATAGATTGTAGTAGATCACACCTTTTATAGGATCAGAATTTTCTAGAAGAATATCCTTCAAAAAATAATGCAAACAAAATTATATACACAAAATATGATATTTATATATTTATTAATATATTTATAACATTTATTCATTAATATATTTAATAATAGATAAATTTAGATCTTAGTATCTATAAAAAAATAAAATTATATATCCTTCCTTATTTTATTATATCTTCTTGCCTTTTAATTTGAACTTTCTACAGAATCAGAATCATCAATTTCATTTCCTTCATTAAATAAACATCTTACCTCTTGTAATATAACCAACAAATCATCTTTGTTTTTTGACCTAAATCCATGATATTTCGTTGATAATTTTTGTCCATTGGTTCAAAGAAAGATTCTAACTTGATTATAAGTTCTCGTTTTGTCATTTTTAATTCATCTTCCTGGGCGATTGCCTTTTCTTTGGTTATTGGAATAGGCTTAGATATATAAGTTGTACTTTTGTTGTAGAATACTTATACAATATGTTCTATAATTGATAATAGCTTGCAGATAATAAAATCTATTATACAATTCTTATAAAATATTAACATTAAGTCCAATAAATCCATTTATTGTAATCAACAAATAATATTAAAGCTTACCTGTTCATATCTTGTTATTAAGATCAATGATAAGTTGTGATTATTGTTGGCATTCTTTTAATTGCTGTTGACGTTCTTCTGATTGCTATTGCAGTTGTATTTATTATCAAGATTAATAATAATTCTTGATCGTTATTGACATTCTAATTCACTTGTTGTCAGCATGTCTTTTGCTCTTTGAAGTTCTTCCAAAAGATTAGACTCATCATCAGTAATGTTATCTTCTGTATTATCTTCTCTAAAACTTTTGTTCCTTTGAGCTGATCGGTCTACATAAAAAAATTCTTACAAAAATATCAGTAACAACTATCTGATTATAATGCTTTTCACGTAATGAATAATCTTCTAAAAAACCAGTTAATAAAGATAGTTCAGGAAAATACTTAGCTAATTTATTTACTCCTTCAGCTGGTTTTCTTGTATTTGACATTCTAGTAAGAAGAATTGAAATATTCAAGTAATTTCAAAAAAAAAAAAAAAAAAATTAATAATAATAAATCGAAAATTCAAGCCAAAATATGCCTCTTATTGAAAAAAAAAACTAGTGTGCAAACCTTTGTGGATGAAGGTGGATTATTAAAGTATATGTTTAAGAAAGTCAAATTATATTAGTAATATTATATTTTATAATTATGTCATATTATCACCCCTTGGGCCTTACAAAAAATGTCACTATTTTTCTTGCAAAAGGACATGTAGATCATTCTAGAATAAAATTCCTTTTATGGTAATATCCCTGACTGTATTAATATTAACAACTTGTTCAATACGGGATCATTAAATTATTGTTTATTAGTTTTTAAATCAACTAATAATAAAATAAATTTTATTATTTTTAAAGCATTTGCATAGTATAATCTCCATTGGCTTTGATTAAAGATGATAAATAACAATTAGATAATGTAATATTTGATACATAAATATTATGAAACTTAGTAATCGTGAAACTTGAAACTTCTTCATGGTGTTGCGTCAACAGCGGTTGTTGCTTGTCATGGTCTTCGCATCCTTTTATTTCTTGAAAATTTTTTTATTTGTGTGTTTAAATTATCAACATGAGCCTGCCCATGAAAGATCTTGGTTAGGAAATGTCTGTTAAAGATAATGTTACCAATTAACAACTTACTCTAAATATTAACAATTTTTCTATTATCTCATTTAGCATATATATATTTGTTACAGAATCGGGTATTGAAAAAGAAACATTTATTTCATCTATTAAATATATTCCGTCATGATGGTGCATGGCATAGAAACAGAAACATCAGGAAATTAATTTAGAGTAAACTTGCATAAATCTTACGATGCTGACGTAATATTGTGTAAATCTTACAGTGCTGATGTAAGTTTTACACTTTTTTATTATTAAACTTACAATTGACACATGTAAAATTTTTTTATATTTTCCGGATGAATCTTTTCCTAAAAAAAAAAAAAAAAAAGAAAACAGAAAGAGTTATTAAACAGAAAGAGTTATTCAATAACAACAATCACACAAAAACATTTTACTTACTATGCACCAATATTCCGTATACCTCTAAAATTTCAAAGATATTTTCATCAACGACTCCATCATTATATAAGACTTTATGAAGTTCATGGAAGGCCAAACGCATTGCTTTTAACAACTTCTGCCGATCTCCTAAAAGCTTATGATTATCTTTAACGACAGCATTTCCAACAACTTCTAAAATTCCTACATATGTTTCTACTCCATTAATATCTAGATTTAGTATCCCGTCATGGCACCAACCTCTTGATTTGCGTTCATCAGGGTTCTTTGACAGATCTAGTTGGGTTTTTTGATGCTCGTTTTCTACTTCACCACTAATGAAAATACATAATGCTATAATGTTAGTATTAGTATTATACTAGAAGTAATTTATATATGTGTGTATAATATAAATATTTACATTGCCATTCTTATTATTGTTGAGTCTAGAAAAAGATCTTTGCATAAAGTGTTTACAATCCAATCTCTATACTGGTACTCACTCGCAAATCTATCATTAAGAACATTTCTAGGTAGATGAAAGCATGTCAAGCTTTCAAACAAAATTTAGAATAAATATAAATATAATAATTTAAAATTACAAGCTAGATGGTAAATGACAAGAACTTACAATTTCTGATAGATATTATCTACCCATTTTTCAAGCCAATTCTTCCTAAATTTATATCCATTTGGATAATCGTAAATAACATTAATCGCGTCCAAATCTATTTGTCCATTATCTTCTGCATTTTTTATTCCTTCTTGATATCTACCTAGAATGGTTTCTACTTTATTAAGTAACGGGAAGACTTTTTTTGCGATTTCTTTCTCTTTCTAAAGTTTTATATTATGCACAAAATATAACTTTAGATATCACAAATTTATGGATAAATTCTGCACTATACTAACATTAAAAAATCTTCATTACCTTATAGAAACATTTCTCAAGTACTGACCACTCATTATTACTAAACGCGGATTTCAATTCATTTTTTTTGTTGCATTCTGGTAAATAAATTATACCGTATCTTGCAATACCTTTCTCAATCCTTCTTAATTTTCTTGTTATCCAATTATCATTTACCTGTCAAAAATTTCTCAATAATCGATATTACGTAATGCTAACATATCTACACAGAGTTTATAATCAAAGATAACAAACGTTTGAAGGCATAAGTTCCTTGCAATCTGATTTTTCACCATCATCATTGATATTACATTCGAGATTATTGTGATCCTGTGCAATTGATGCATAGTGGTTGGAGTGACGACATTGGGAAGAAAAGTTTGAACGCAGTAATATTGTAAGAATTTAAAAAAGTAGTAAAGACATAAAATTAATCGAAAATATGTTAAAAAAAAGAAATTTTCAAGATTATTAAAGAGTACTAGCTTCGAGAGTAATAGTTGGTGGTATTTGTGCTCTAAAAAAAGATTAAAATTTTGTTAATCAACTAGAATGACGATGGATTATAATTCAACAACTAGAGTGACGATGAGCAGTGGGCGATAACCACCACCGCCATCCTTGAAACACTTACTCAGGTTTTGTTGCTTCTGCAGAATTGTTTGCTTTTCTTCTTTTTTTTTCGTTTGATTTATTCATTATTATTATTAAATAAAATAAAAAAAAGATGTTTGTTATTTGATCAATGCGTACACATTGATTATTTATCCTATTGGTTTTTTTTTTGGTAGGACAAACGCAAATTGATTTTTTTTTTTCTTGGAAAAACAATTTATTTTTTGAAAGAGTCCAAGGTGACAAAACGTGAACGGTGAGGTTTGGTTTGGTTTTGGGTCTCCTAAAGAAAAAGTGTTAATAACTAACCAGATATAATGTGGTGTATTTTTATTTTGGTTTATAAACATTTTAATTGGAAATCAAAACGTGGAGCAGATCATTGCTGGTAATTACAAGATTTTCATTGATAATATTTTGCTTTTCGTAATCAATAATATTAATCAATATTATTATAAATAATATTATAATCACAAGATGTCAAGGCAGCACACTGTTACAGAAGAAACATTTCAAATATGCAATGTTTGATTACAGGAAATTGGCAGGCGTTGAAGCACGTACGCTGCCTTGAACACTTTACAGTCATTCACACATGTTCCTTGTGTACAAAAGGCTAAACCAACCTGCGATCCCCAAGGATACAATGATGCTGTTAAATTCTAGGGGGGGGGAGTATGGTCCTGGAGTTTATCGAGACTGCATCAATCGTCAATGACGCTTTCACTAATCTTCCCAGACCAGAGAAAACTGCCAGCATGCTAGACAAAAAATTTACTGCAACGATCCCACCTCTAGGGCAAGGATGGCTCTGTGACCAATCTATCACAACTCTGGAGGAATATTAAGAGAATCTGCAACTTGTTTCAAGCACAGGAGGTCGCAATTCAGAGCAGGGTTGGTGGCCTGAATTTGCATTTGGACTCTGATGTTAAGAGGGAAGTTGTAAAATAGTGTTTGTTTTGTATAATCATTTTCGTAAATGCTCTGTTTAACCAATTTATAATTTTGGGTAGAGGACTAGATGGGTTTTTGCTCAATCAGTTCCCTGTCCTGTAGGTTAAAATTATCGCATGATTATATACATTTTTGTCAGCAATATGGCCAACAAGGAAAAAGTTATAAAATGGTTCAGATTTTGTTTGGTATGTCTTGTATAAATTAATCATTTTCCCAAATTTTTTGCTTCTTTTTAATTTTTATCTGATCGACTGAACTTGTTATTTAAGTAAATGGAGGTAGGGTTGTTGGTGAGTAAGCATGCCACTGACAAGACAGGAGATGCCTTTGGGATGTACCAGCCAAACTTGTAGAAAGGGATCTTTTGTCCAGACTTTGGGTCACATAGATGTTAAGCACAGAAAATGTACACTATCAATGTATATATTTTTTTCAACAAAATAAACATTTAAATAATTAATTATTAAATATTAATACTTTTCTTTTCATAAAAATTACAGCAACCCAGGACTCAAAACTCTGAATTCAGGGAAAAACCAAAACAGCAACCCAGGTAGCAATCTCCCAAGTTGCAGAGTTGCAGAATTTTCAAGCCAGTCTTAACATCAACTTTTATGCTAGCGTGGCAATAACATGCAGCAATCATCACACAAGCACCAGCTATCAGTGATCAATGTCAATATGGTGACAGCCAAGCCTGGTCTGAGAGGAAGATAGGGAAAGTTTTGTCCAAAGCCTTCCAACATGTGGGGTGCTTCAACTGTGGAGAAAATTCATGGTGCTGAAGCGTGTGAAAGCACCTGACTGCGTGTTTGCGACAGGAAAGTTTTAATTAAATCTGATACCTGTGATCAACATCAGTTTTATTATTCATAAGGAACTATACAATGAGAAGGAGAATTATTTTTTGATCCTCAGGTAGACATACATTGTTAAGAGTTTCATTCATGCATGGCCTTGGTATTGTTACTATTTGGGTGATGAAATTGTTTGTTATGTCAATTATAACATCATGACCATCATGAATATTTGATGGATGGAGGCAGTCACATACAAGGAGATGTTATGAGCAAGACACAAAAAAATTAAAAGTCAATAATCTGCATAATGAATTTTTATCTGATTTATGTGTTAATGATGATGTTGGGATTGAGCTGGTTTTATTCACAAAAACCCCATTTCAAAAAATTGGATATTGTCAAGATAGATCTCAAGGTGTCAATCAAGGGTAAATATAAATTATGTAAATATAATTTAGTCAATTTTTTATTTATTTAAATTTATTAGTGTAAAAGGAAATAGAAAATGCAATTATTTTTATTAGGTAAGAAATTTTTTATTATGTTTTTGACAAGATGATTTTTATTTAAGAATTTATTTACATGTTGATTAATGTATGGTTGGCTCGGCCTAAAGACCTTCTATTGCTGCGCCATGCGGCCAAATTTCGTTCAAAAATGTAATAAAATTTTTTAAAAAATAGGACTTCACGTGATTTTGGTTTTCTTACTGCCAAATTTAGATACGATAGTAATATTTTCCTAAATTTAGAAATGATCATTCCTCGCGAGCATAGTAAAGTACATGTTTTAAAAAAGAATAGAACTCTACAACAAATAATTTTTGAGAAAATCTC